TTTGCCTAACAAATAGTAGGTACTCAGGACATTTTGCTGAATAAATTAAATATAGTGTGGTTCCCAGATATTTTCTTGTATAAAATTACATAGGTTCATTATATCATCAACATCTCATTAAACAAGTAAGTCAGAAGTCCTTTTATTTATATTATTTCAATTTGCTGTTTAGAAAACATTTTAATAATAAAAATTGAACAAAAATAGCAAAATGAATGAATTATGAATAAATGTAATTGATAACCATAACCTTTCAAAGCATGACGTCTCTGGAGGAAGAAAAGCTAAATCTAAGAGGCCCTGTGATAAAAAGATTAAAAATAGTTGCTCTTTATTGTTAGACATAAATCATAGATGAAAATCAGCACATAAATGATTCAGTTCAGTAACTTATTTGGCTCATTGTTCTGGTCTATGCATGATCATAGCAATGCTCTGGATTTTCATATCACTCTTTACTTTCCACAGAGATAGTGGCTCCATTGTCTCTCACTAGACCACCACAAGCAGTCCTACCAGAGAGAAAGGAATAGGGTTGTTCTCAATAAAATGCATGTGAATGGAGACACAGAGGATTAAGTGAATTGCCCAAGACATTGCTACTTGGTGATGGACAAATGCTTTTTTCTATATCTGATTCCTCACACCTGCATATTTGAACCTTTACAGATTCATAGTAGCAGAAATAGATAATGGGAGAAGAGGCATAAAACCAAGAATAAAAGAACAGTTGAGTGCAGCCCAGGGCCTCCTGATTGCAGTTCGACTTCAAAGGGCTGAGTTTAAAAAAATCTCTCTTCCATGAGATGCTTCAGTAAAGAATGTGAAATCCCAGACTGAGCCCACTGCTAAGTAGTATGTGATCTTAAACCAAGAAGGTCTTTCTGTTATTGTATCAAAACTTTGGGGTTTGCTTATCTTTATTTCAGTTAAGTTACTCTAGTATTCCAAGGTTTTTGAACAATAAAAACAGTATTTCAGATATGACTAGTTGATTAAATTGACATGGTCAGTTCCCTCTACAGTTAACAGCTATAATATAATAGCTATCATCCTGCCTATTGAAAATGTCCTGAGTGGTACTCTAAAAATATTTGAATGAAGAATGTAGTCCCTGAGATAACAAATAACAATAAAGGATTCTTTTAATCCACTCAAAGACCAAATGCCAAGGTAGCAATGTTGAAACAAAATTACTGAGGCTGACATAGAAGATATCAGAAGAAGAAAATCTGACTATAGCTGGTGACTGCCAAATGAGTCTGCAGTGCTGTTGATATAAACCCGTGGAGTCGACTGTATTTTAACACAGAAGGTGTGGTTCTGAAGTTGGCTATGAGGATGAAAAAGAAAATATTGAGGAGAAGCAAATGATTAAAGTGTGAAAAGCTTTAGACTTTTTAGTTCTCCTGTGTTATTAAAGGCCCTATGCCTAGTCTTAACTTTGACCATATAATTGTTCTGAAGAAATACAATATCATCAATCCAGTAGCCAAGATCTTTTTAAAATGTATTTCCCAGGCCCCTGAACTCAATCCCTTGAAGTCTAAACTATATCTAGTAGGTATTAGTATTATATTACTAATAGTTGTATTTAATATTTATTGTGTCTTTATGAATGGTACACTGCCAGATTCTTTAAATGAAGTATTTTATTCTCAAAGTTCTTTGAGATAGTTATTATTATTATTATTATTATTATTATTATGGTCTTCCTTTCATAGGCAAAGTCATTAGATTTATGGAAGTTAGTAACTTCTAAAATATTTCTCAAATGCATGTTTTAGGTACCATGCATTAAAAATTCCATAATAAATATAAAACTGGGAAATTTTATTTATTTATTGCTTTATAATTTATTTGAACATTGCTTAAGACTTAAGGACAGGAAATGAAAAATGACGTGAAGTACAATCATGAATTCAGTTGGTTGCTCGAATTAAATTTTCTTTGGGGTAACACCTTTGGAATAAGAGAGACCAGGATTTGAACTTTACTGATTATTAACTGGCTACCTTTATAATCATGTTATTTAAATATCCTGTGGCTTACTTTCCTCATCTGGTATATGGGCATAAAACCTTCCTCACAGGTCTCTTGTAAATACAGTTGATCCTAATTTTTCAAGGATCCCGAATTTGCAAATTTGACCATTTGCTGTGATTTATTCATGACCCTGAAGTCAGTACATGTAAAGTTTTTAGTCATTTACAGAGTTGTAAGATATTTTAGTTACCCATGAACAAGGTGAATGACTTCTTATTTGACCTCTCATACGATAAACAAATATCCCTTTGTGGTCCATTTAGTTGCCATGATTTTACCATTTTAAGTATTTACTTAGGAGATTCTTCCACTTATAATAGCCCTCTAAATATAGTGCTAAAGTACTGAATAGTTATCCTAAGCAAAGAAGGCTGATATATGCCTTTTGGAGAAAATGTTTTATAAGGCTTATATTTTATAAGCCTTGTTGAGGAGTGAGTTGTAGGGCTATTGTCTGTTTGTTCAATGTTAATAAATCAGCAATATATATTAAATAAGATATTCTTGTTACTGGGGATTGAATCCAGGGATGCTTTCCCACTGAGCTATAGTCCCAACTGTTTTCATTTTTTAAATTTTAGACTGGGTCTTCCTGAGTTTCTGAGGCCTCAAACTTGTGAACCTCCTGCCTCAGCCTCCCTAGTTTGTTGTTGGGATTACAGGAGTGTGCCACCACATCTAGCTTACTAAAATATTTTTAAACAGAAATAAATGGAGATCTTGTGACCAGAGGCTAACCCTGAATTTTTACTAGGAAAAGTGGCTCAGTGTTTACTAATTTCATGTTCCCAGAGACTGTATAAATTTAGCAAGAATAACAATAGTTTACTGTTTGTAAAGTAGCAAGTGCAACACTTTAGTATATTATAAAGACTCAGTATATTCACTTTCAACTTTTTCTTAGTTTTCCTTCTGACTCAACAGTACTTCTGAAAGAGTTTAGGATGTTCTTTTTAATAGGGCAATAAACACTCTGAAATAATATCACTGGTTTAAAAGACAAGATCCTCAAACACAATTTTTCTTCTTTTTAGCTTTTATGCTCCCTTATAACAACATATTATAAGATATTCTTATTAATTAATTAAAAGGTCAGTTTTGAACCCCAGGCTAAATTGTCTTCAAAGGTAACTTTATCAGTAAGTAAAATGTTCAGCTTTGTGGTGGACGATGCAGTCTCTTTTGCAACTATTCAACTTTGCCATTATATTATAAAAGGAGTCATAGACAATATGAAAATGAATAACATAGCTGTCTTATTAAGACTATAAAAACAGGCTAGATTTGGCCTGTGGGCTATAGTTCAAAATTTTTTGATTTTGTAATATTGGCACTTGGTTTGTGATATCATTTATCATAATAGGGAAATAGCATGTGATTCTGAGTTTGCTAAAAAAAAAAAAAAAAAAAAAAAAAAATTCCTTACCTGGGTTTCTACTGGTTGTCCTGGTAGTAATTATAATAACATGTGATAAGCAATTGTTATATGCCAGGCACTAAGTTAACCACTTTATACTATAATTTATTTTCTCAGCATGGCCCTATAAGACAACTATTGTAATAATTATCTCATTTTTTAGGAACAGAAACAAAGGCCTAAAGAGGTAAAGTAACTCATTCTAGATCATGAAATTAGGACAAGGTATAATCTAGTCCTAGAGTTGTATCCTCCATCCCTAGGATAATTTTGGACTTGTAGCTGGTATTCAATATTCTTTGCCTAACCTTTCCTTATTGTCCAATGTTTTACTTATTTGGGGATGTTGACCTGAATGTTAAAAGTTCATTGTACAGCATTAAGTTTTTTGAAGAGAAGCATTACATTAATTCAGTGGATAAGTAAGTGGATGAATGTGGTTTTAGCTCTAATTCTTTAATTAGTTTTTTCAAAATTAGCTTGTTTTTATCTCTGGCTAAGTTTTTAGTGTATTCTGAAAGAGGAGTTTGCCTGAACGTGAGGCTTTGCTGCTTCACTCTCTGCTGGAAGATTTGTTTCTCTTTATCAGATAATTTGGACATTTTATTTTGTTCTTTTTTCTTTGGTATCCTGATTAAAGGATTAGAAAGCCCTTTTCTAGGTTTGAGTCACTAATACCACCCTGTCCAGAGCCTTTAGCTTCAGGGACATTGATTTGCATTTGTTGAATGCATAATGACTTGGCAGAAGAACTGCCTCTTTCCCTGTTAACTATGTTAACTGTTCTTACATTGCCCATGTCTGCCATCTCTAGGTGCAGTTCTCAGAGTGAATAAAGATATCAGAAGTAGGTGTGGACAGGAGATATGACCAGGGTGGTGCTGAGAACATTGAAAACATAAGCTTGAGGCTTCAGAATGGAGATAACTGGTTTAGCTATCATATTGCCCTTCTGTGGCCCCTTTATATTTAGTTCTCACTCCTAACTGAACATTTTATTTAGGCTTGGTATGTGCCAGATACAGCTAGGAATCCAAAAATAATGGCCTCCCCCCCCCCCCAGCTGAAGGTCACATGTTCCCTGCTAAGTGGTCTCTCTAGATAGAAATGCTTTCGTGGAGGTCTTCTGGAGAGTGTACTTTGGGGCATGGAGGGAGGCAGAAATGACTGCCTGGTATACTGAAGTGTTCAGTCATGAAGAGAATCATTTTTTGAACTGGGAACAGAATTTACCAGTTAGAGTAGGTTAGTTGGCCAACATCTCTGGGAAAGAAGACCATCACAGCAAGAGGGAGGATGAAGTATTTGGGGAATGATATGCATTTTGTTGATTGTAAGAGGGTGAGACAAGGGGATGAGCTAGATAAAATCAGGGCCAGATTGTGCAATGTATGTATTGACAAGGCAGATATTAGAAGCCTTTTCTTAGGGTGTAATGTGATCAGTTTTATAAAAATAATTCTGGTGATGGGATAAAGGGAAAAAATTAATGGAGAATTCCAGTGACTAATGGGTTGTATATTCTTCTGCCTTCTAGCTTTCTCTTGCGCTTCTGGAGAGTATCTAGAGATGAAGAACCAGGTATGCAGTAAGTGTGCCGAAGGCACCTACTCCTTGGGCAGTGGCATCAAATTTGATGAATGGGATGAATTGCCAGCAGGATTTTCCAACGTTGCAACATTCATGGACACTGTGGTGGGCCCTTCTGACAACAGGCCAGACGGCTGTAACAAGTAAGAATCCAAAGGAGCCTTTGGATCTTGACTGAGTACTTGAGAAGGGTATAGTTTCTCTTTTCCAGAGAGAAGTTAAGGATAATCTTACTACTGATGGGGGTTACAGATAAGCTAATTGCAAAGAGTCATATTTTTTGGATAGTCATTACAAATAATGTAGCTAAATTTTCATGAAGCTTTAAAATAATTACCCTCAGGATATAATAGATATTGTATACAAAAATGCAATAAAGCTATTAGGAAAAAAAATAATTTTCTCATATTTAAAACCAAACTTAAGTCAGTGATGTTTCTACTATCCTTTTTCTAATTTTTAGTGGGTAAATTCAAATTTTTTTTTTCCTTTCAAAAGGAAGAATTTATAACCTTCATTTAAACTTGATCATTTCCTGCAAGAGCAAGTGGCTTAAATAACTAATGTGGCCTTTGTTTAGTTCCTGGGAGATTATAGTTTTGCCTATGGCAGTGTTGGAGGCATGTTAAATTGTTTCAGAAAAAAAAAAAGCCAAATATTTCTCTTTGGGCTTTGCCCTTTCCTGTCCTCTTGTATTGATTATGTAACTATGTGGCCATGTTTTGAAAATGAAACTTCCAGCCCCTGGCTAACTTCTGATAAGAGGGGTTTCTCCAGAACCTTGAAGTTTTACTTCTTAGTCTGTTGGCAGTGATCTAAGGATGCTGGACAATTATTTAGTTGTTCTAGATGATGTGTTTCCTTCTTTCCTTCCCTTCCTCTTTCTCTCCTTCTTACCTTCACTCTTCTTTTCAGCTCACTGTGCCAAACAACATTGATTTATCATTCTCCGCTGATCATAATATTATTATTCTTTATGTTTAATTGTTAGTCTTTTTTTTTCCTGTAACACTGGAAACTAAGTAGTTTATAAAGAAAAGAGGTTTATTTAGCTCATAGTTCCAGAAGTCTAAGAGCATGGTGCTGGCATCTGCTTGGCATCAGAGGAGGGCTTCATACAATTTCAACTCAAGGCAGAAAATGAAAATGCATGTTGTCATATGCAAAGGAAGAAAAAGGGACCAACCTCCTGAAATATCGAGAAAAACATGAATTTATTCATGAGAGCTCAGATCCCATGACCCAACACTTATTTGTGGCTCTGCTACTTTTTTAAAAAATTGATTTTATTATTATTTTTTAAATTCACGACAACAGTAGAATGCATTACAACCCTTATTACACATATAGAGCACAATTTAAGTTGGCTATTAATTTCAGTCTGGATCTGGCAGGGACAAACCACCTTCAAAACTTCAGCAATGTGTGTGCACACACTGTGTTTTAAATAAAATATTTCCTTAGAGAAGAGTACTAGTAGGATGTTACAAAACCTCATATCTTTGTTTTGGTGATCAGAGGATATGGACACGGCTTCCTCATGTACCCTATGGAATAGTTTATTTATCAAAAAAATTCAATGATAAGCAGAGGTTTTTCAAAGTAGTGTCTTTTGGTATAATTTTCTCAATGAAATTTCAGTTTGATATTGCTATGCTTTTTTTCCTTCTCTGCTCCCTTCCTTTTCCCACCCAGGTGATCTTATATTCTGTTTACTTTTTCTTTGGTTTGGTCATATAGGAGATTTAATTATAAAGCCAAAAGAGTTCTTTGTATATTATGGACATGCGTTCTTGTACATGTATATTTGTATAATATTTACTATATATTAAGACAGATACATATATGTGTGTTTGTGATACTGCTTTCAAGTCTGTGGCTTTTGCTTTTTCATTTTCTTAATGATATTCTTTGATAATATGAAGGTTAAAATTTGAAAAAATAATAGTTTATCAATTTTATCTCTTACAGGTAGTTTTGCTAAATCTTATATCTTTGCTAACACTGGGTTGTGAAGGCTAGAAATTGCAATATGTGTTCTTATCATAGTGTAGGTAGTTATTATACTTTTATAAGAGTGTAGTTACACCTATACTCTCATTTTTGTGCTATTGTCATGTATTTAGAAACATAATCTCTGAAATACAATGATTGTTTTAAATAATCATTTGTCATTGACACAACCTCAAAAAGATTTAGGAACTCAAATGCTAACTCAGTTATTGATGAGTTTTCTTTCTTATGGTGTATAACTTTCTAAATGACTTAAAATATGAAAAAAATACACATTATATATTAATCTAAATATGTACAATCATGGTACTCTTTCTTCCTTTCCATAGATTTGCCGTGTGTGTGTATATGTTTATAAATAAAATTTAAGATGTTGTTTGAAAGAATAATTCCACTTAAGGCTACTGGGTTAGTGTTCATCTTGTTGGTGATCAAATTTTTTTTGGCGAAAAAATAGCAGCTTCATTGCAAATTGCTCAAATAACCTTCAATGATTTAGGAAGTTATGTACTATCAAGAAATGAACCTCCCCTCAGTAATGGAGTTGGCCTTAGAGCATCTGAAAAAGCTCGGGGTGTTTTCTGCTGTGCTTTGCTGATGGAACTACTTTTGAATCTGGGGTATAGCTTTGTGACCTGAAGTGGTTTTTGAAAACTAACAGAAAATGCATCTTGGCTTTGTTTCCACAGCTCTTCTTGGATCCCTCGTGGAAACTACATAGAGTCTAATCGTGATGACTGTACGGTGTCTCTAATCTATGCTGTACACCTTAAGAAGTCAGGCTATGTCTTCTTTGAGTACCAGTATGTCGACAACAACATCTTCTTTGAATTCTTCGTAAGACCTTTTATATTCTAGACTCCACTTTTTGAAAGACATTCCTTTAAATTTCCCTTAATCTTTGTTGCACTCCACTTTATATGCCTTCTCCTTTTTGTGTGTGTAAGTGACCCTGTAAGTATTATAGGAAAAGTTAATTTTTTTCTATAGCATTTGAGTTTATATTTAATATTGTTTATTTTTGCACTCTCACCTTATAGTGTAATATTGGCTTGTTTTGCTTCTGGTTATACTCATTAGACAACTGGTTTAGACTGTGTGTGACAAATATTTTCCCCAAGATTCATTTTAACTTAATTTTTTATGGCTGAAAATGCTATTTTGTTAAAAATATATTTTGCCAATTTTAGTTTTTAATTAATTTTTTCTCTTTATAGTTTCAAATATATATATATATATATATATATATATATAACTATACACATACATATATATTCTTTTTTTACTGATTAGAATTACTTAAATGTTTTCATGGGCAATTGTTTAAAAAAGAGAAATTACCATATTTTCTGATTCTGTGGATTTTTACAGTCCAAAGAAATTTATGAATTCGATAGTTGGTGCATTTGATCTTAAATAGGATTATAGAATATAGAATACTATGATAGATTAACAGAATAATGACTAGGGTTATGTAACTATTTTATGTAAACTGTACTTAATCTAGCAAATATTTATTGTGGCATGGACTCAAAACACTTGAGAAAATGTTTTCTGATTGACTTCTTATACCAATAGTGTGTGTTATAGTAGTAAATGGGAGAATATCTTGGAAAATGTTTTCATGCGCCAGATTTAAGGAACAAATGTACTAACAGTTCTGAAACAAATGTGTATTGTCATTGGTAATGGGTATTTTACATCAAAAGTTTGGTGGCAATAGATATTTTCCAGGAAACTATGAGCCTTAGATTTGAAGTCAAGAGACTCTGACTCTATCCTGTCTCTATAATTGTTAACTGTGCGTTCTTGAGCAATGGAATTAACTTTCCGGTCCTTGGCATTCCCTTGTGTGAGAGGACACTTGAAGGAGCCTCCTAGCGCTAATATCCTTCCATGAGCTTAAAATGTTAAGCAGTGTTCAAACAAATTTATCTTTTAAGCTACATTTTGTTTGCAAAACTCTTCTCCGGGTAAATGATTTTCTATTTCTTGGGACATTTAAACAGTATTGCTAAAACTAAAATAATGTTGAAAGGCAAGACAGTTATCTAATTGTTAGAATAAATGTGTATTTTTGTAGTTTAGTATACTCAATAAATCCCCTGAGAACTGTCAATAAGGGTACTCTTAGGGCATAATGTTTCATTACTTCCATTTCAATGGTGCCTCTGTTCTTTTGGTTTTAGTTTGAAAGGGGATGGGAAATTCATGCTCCTTTTATTGATGCTTCAGCTTTATAGGTTGCAATTTATTGACTCAGAGTGTTAATACCTCACAGTCATCATGCTCCTGGTTAATAGAAAAGAAGCATTTGAAGGCTGAAAGATATAGTTGTGCTCTGACAATTACACATGTGAGCATCATGTAATTTGAAGCATTCATCCCAACCAATTTTTAAAATGCTGAAACTGAAACCTAGAGAGAGTAAGTGATTGCACCAAGATTACACCTTTACTAGCTTCAGAAAGAGTAATGGAGCTCAGGTCATCTGAGCGGTGGTGGAACGTCACGGTAACACATGATGTCTGCCTTCAGCTGTAAAAAGCTCTCAGCTTGTCTATATACTGCCCAACAGAGGAACATTCAGGACCCATGTCCTCTCCCGAATGAAAGAAGTATGAAAACAGTCAGTATGCTTATGATATAAATAAGACAAGAATTCAATTAAAGTAAATTTCCTGGGTAGCATATATTCTCTGGTATTTAGATGGTAAAGGGATCCCTTTTCTCATAAGTAAGCCTTTAGAAAATATAACTTCTGGAGAAATTTTAATGTTTGTAAATTAGTCAGGAGGATGACCAAAGTAGCAAAACAATTTAGAGAGAGAGAGAGAGAGCCTTTTCTTTCTGCAGAAGTACAGATAATGAGATCTTATTTTAACTTGGCTCTGTTACTGACTACTTTGCAATACAGAAATGTTGACCTAACCTTTGGATACCTTTGTTTTCTACATAGACCTGAAAGAGTATTGTCCTAACTCTTAAGCATTTTGCAAGAACTGAGGGGAAAGGTCAAGGTTTTTGGTATTAAAGATTATCTGTAGTCATTTGAATTGGAATGGCAAATAATTAACATTTACACTGTGTTAGATTTTTTTGTTGCTGTGACCAAAATACCTGAAAGAACAACTTAGAATAGAAAATGTTTATTTAGGCTAATGGTTTCAAGGGTTTCAGTGGAGTGGTCCTGACTCCATTGTTGTAGCCCTGAGATGAGGCTGAACATCATGGCTGAAGGTCATGGTAGAGAAATGCTGCTCAGCTCATGGTGAACAGGACACAGCAAGAGCAAGGGAGGCTGTAGCAATGAAATATAAACCCCAAAGTCACACCCGCCCAGACACACCCTGGTTCCTGTGGCCACACCCTGTCTACATTCCTCACCCAGATAGTCCTTTCAAAATATAAACAAATGAAATGGATTAATCTGTTGATTAGGTTACATCTCTCATAAAATAATCATCTCACCACCTGCATTAACAGGACTTCAGGGGGATTCCTCATATCCAAGCCATAACACCCCCAAATAACAATTTGGAACTTTCATTTTGGCTGTGGTCACTTAAATTGTACATTGAGTCCTGGGGAAATGAAAACAAAGCAGTCTTCACTTACTAACTTAAAATTTCACTGTCATGAATCCACATTATCATCTTGTTTACTTTTGTACACTTGGATTTGCCTGGTAAATACAAGCTGCTAAAACATTTTGATAAGCTGGGTAGATTTTTTTTTGTAATGACTTTCAGTGATAATTGTTTCCCCTCTCTCTCCTCATGGGCTAGTCTTTTTGTCTCAATGAGATGGTTTACTTAGAACTGCTCACCCATGTGTGCAGCTATCACTTTGTCTCCAGAGGTCTCTGGTGTGTTTAGTTGTTGAGAATTACTGGTGGCCACCATTATTTAGTATGTACAGAAAGACATTCTTGCAGCCTGTGCTGGACTATGGAATTTAGTGAAAGCCATTATTCCAGAATCTTTACTGAGACCCTGTGTTTAATCCACAGATTCAAAATGATCAGTGCCAGGAGATGGATACCACCACAGACAAGTGGGTAAAACTCACTGACAATGGAGAATGGGGCTCTCATTCTGTAAGTCTCTTTGTTTTTCCTTCTTCTTTTCTATTAATCCCATTCTCCTCCTTCCTTTTCCCAGTCTTTTCTAAGCATTCATTTTAAGAAAAGAAAAAGAATTTTTTTTTATTAATTAAGATAATTTCCATTTAGGGAAGAAATTGCTCCTAAGTTTCATCAACTCATATTTTTTTTTTATTTTTTAGGTTATATTTTCCTACATTTTCTTTTCTCCTTATATTTCTTTCTTTTTCTGTTCCCATCATATTTCAACTTTCTTCCCTTTTCAAGAAAGAAGTCTATTCAAAACCAATATACAAAATTGACAAAATCTAAAAGTATGTAAATTTTAAAATGTGCCTGTTTCACACAATATGATCATCAGTCACTTGTCATTGAAAAGATCTTTGAATTCCTTTCATCTGACCTTCTCTTCAGTGTCCCCTGCAAGTGATTTTCAAGCTTGTTTTGTTGGGCACTGTGCTTTCTCCATTGTTGGACAGCTCTCTGATTTTCACAAAATTCATCCACACTGGGCTTCAACCTGCTTCATATGTATTTGCCTCCAGTGATCAAATTCTACTCTTTCAGTTACATTAAGTATAGTAACTACCTATTTCTTCACAGGGCATCTCCTTAAATATTTGAAGGCAGGATTACCAGATATGTGATTTGGTGAATCTGTTATTACTTGAGGCACTTACCCTTTGGAGTATGGAAGTATTTAAAATCTATTTATGGCTTATAGTTGTATTTCTTTGAGTGATTTGCTTAATCTCTTAGCATCTGATTTTTTTTTTCATTTCAGAAATGGGAAAAGTGTTGCTGAATTAAATGGGGTGATGTCTGGGAAGGGACTCACATAGTGCCTGTAATGTAGACTGAGTTATGTTTCAATGAATCCATTCTTGCCTTTTTGATTATGGCAGTTACCAAATCCTTGAATGATTAACACAGTGTACCCTTGCAGAGGTTTTCTTTTTATATGTATGTTTGAAAGTAATATTGGTACCACTTAATATTCACTCATCTAAGCACCCAGTCAGCTGGGCTTTGAAAATACAGTAACCCTTGGCAACAGATATGCTTTCTTCACTTTTGATTACACGTGGAAAGTACTGAATCCACTTACTTCTCTAGCTCTCAGGCCTGATGAAGTAGTTGGGTTGATTAATTTTACATAGCTTGAATTTGACCAGCCAAAGAGTGCATACAAAAATAAAAGTAGCAAAAGACAAAACAAGAAACCCTTAAAATTGGCTCACTTGCCTGTATCAGCATGAAACTTAACAGTTTTCAGGTAGGGCTGGCTTATTCTCTCTCTTCTTTATAAATTTATCTTGATCAAGTATACTGATCAAGTATACTGTCACAGGCTAGCCATGGTGGGTCAGATGTCAATGTGCTAAAGAGAATCAATATTGAATGGAGAAAGACACATCTATCATTTTATCTCTTTCTATGTTTAATTTATAATTAGAAAAATTTTCCAGTGCAAAGGGATCAAATACTAGATATAGTGTCACTGAGGTTCAGTTAATTGTAAGAGTTAAGTTAGTCTATAAGAACAGACCTATTTTATTGCTATTGCAGTGTTGTTTTAAAGTAATTTAAAAAGCAAGCTGTATTAACCTATTTCTATTGCTATAACAATGTGCCCAAGGTTGAGTACTTTATAAGGAAAAAATGTTTATTTAGACTGCAGTTTTAGAGGTTTCAGGGGCATGGTGGCAACATCTACTTGGCTTTTGTGTGGCATAATGATCACAGGATAGTGATTTACAGGAAGCCAGAGATTCCAGGGGAGATCCAGGATTGCCCTTTCATAACGGCTTAGTCTTGGAGGAACTAACTTGCTCTATGAAACAAGCAGTAATCTCTTTCTAGGACAGTGCTCCCAATGGTATAATTGCTTCCCACTTGCCCCACCTCTTAAAAGTTTCACTACCTCTTGACACCACCAAATTTCCAATGCATGAACCTTTAGGGGACACACTCAAGCCACATTCAGATCCTATACAAACCATAGCAGAAGCAAGCTTATTCTCTTGCTTGTTTGTTTTCAGAGCTTAAAGATGTACTTGTGAATGGCAGTCTATAAATATGCAAGTGGGCCGAGTGACTTTCACCCTCTACAATGAATCCTCTTTAAATATAAATATAAGACTTCATGTAAGGGTTTGAAAGTCATTTTGTCTTTTTGTTCAGACTTGAAGGGTTCTTCTTGTTTCTTAGTATATTTTGTGGATTGACAGACTATTTTATTTTCTAAAGAAAATGTTCTCTTCAGAGCTGAGGTCAGAATTAACTATAGGCTTAAATTTGTTGGTTTTAAATTAATTGTGTTTCCTTATAATGCATAGAAAAGTATGTGAGTGAGAAGCTTTTGTGTGTGATTGGAATTGGAAACAGCTTGGCTTATCTGACCTGAGTGTGTTGTTTTTTTGCACAGGTAATGCTGAAATCAGGCACAAACATACTGTACTGGAGAACTACAGGCATCCTTATGGGTTCTAAGGCTGTCAAGCCTGTCTTGGTGAAAAATATCACAATTGAAGGTATTTCACAGCATTCTGTTTTAGCAGTCATTTATCCAGTTTTATGGTTAAAATATTTATTTTAACCAGTACTGGCTGGCTGAAGGTGCATAGAATGAGAACTATATTAGGTATCATACAGGTCTAGAGACCCTGGTTTTAGTACTAGAAAATTCATTGATTCATAGTTTACTTTTTCCTTATACCTTTGAACTGAATTATTTAATCTGTGTAAAGACGTAAACATGATGATGATTTTACGTATCTGTAAATGAAGTTTCTCTCTTAATAGGAGACTATATTCATTCAATATCTACTGTGCCAGACTTTGAGCCTACTTGGGGAGTTAATAATCTGGTCACTGCTATATCCATAAAAATAATAATCTTGAAAACATCTCCACCAGACTGTTTCACTAAGCCTCTTGGGCCTCTCTGGACCATCTGGGTCATTTCTGGCCCAGGTGCACATCTAATAAACCCAACTATAGTTTATGCTCAACTAGGGGTGCTTTTAATTAAAGTAGTGATTCTTCTTTATTAAAGTTTGGCTTATGTTTTACTGTGTTCTAATTGTGCTTGTTCCGGTGATGTTAACTAATTAGTCATACAGACATCTGCTGGCCAACACTGGAATTACAAACTGGAAGACCAGCCATTTCTAGGATCTTATAGGTTTTATCTGTTACTTAATAAGTAGTGAAGAAAGGTCCCACAAAGAGCAGAGAATTGTAGGGGACCTTAGAGTTTATCCCATTCTGACATAGTAGATTTGTATTTGATGAATCATTTAATATGTTTACTCTACTTCAATAAAAATTCTTAAGGGTTTGCTGTACTAATTGTGTTTGATTCAGTAGATATCTCAGTTCTTTGCTTTCTTAGTGATGAATTAATGAAATAAAAGGATTGGGCTGAGCTTACTATTGATATTTCCCTCTCATTTCTTTGTAGAATCAGTATACAGGCACTGACTGACTTGCTGATGTGGGTCTTCCTTCCATGCCCTTTTTTTTTTTCATTTCCACACAGGGGTGGCTTACACTTCAGAATGTTTTCCATGTAAGCCAGGGACATTCAGCAACAGGCCAGGTTCATTCAACTGCCAGGTGTGTCCCAGAAACACCTATTCTGAGAAAGGGGCCAAAGAATGCATAAGGTGTAAAGAGGATGCCCAGTTTTCAGGTAGGGCTGGCTTATTCTCTCTCTTCTTTATAAATTTATCTTGATCAAGTATACTGATCAAGTATACTGTCACAGGCTAGCCATGGTGGGTCAGATGTCAATGTTCTAAAGAGAATCAATATTGAATGGAGAAAGACACATCTATCATTTCATCTCTTTCTATGTGGGTTCTCCCCCTTTGTCTATGTTTTTCTTTCATTCCACACTCCATAGGTAAGAGCTATGGCTATGTTTATACCAATCTAACCCATGTTTTACTTTTAGGTGATTTGTGGGCATAGATATACACTGAGAAACTTTTATTTTTTTCCAAATTTCCAGTATTCAATGATAATGAACAAAACATAATGTCTCCTGGGAGCACTATGATATGCTCCATCTATATCATGGATAGATTTATTACTCTAGAGAAAATTAAAATGTAGGCCTTTATTTTCTGTAGGTCTAGCTAATTCAACCTAAATTGCTTTGGTAAGATTACCTTTTATTTAACTTTTTTCTATTTTGTTCTGATTTTTGCCTTTTCTTAGAGTCACAATGGAGCATTTATGAATTTTGGTTTTTTTTGTATGTATGCATGCATTGCAGAGGAAGGATCCAGTGAGTGCACGGAGCGCCCACCCTGTACCACAAAAGACTATTTCCAGATCCATACTCCATGTGATGAAGATGGAAAGGTATCAGCAGTGTTCAGAAAAATCTATCCCATATTTATCCAACTGTTTCCCCAATTTGGACACACTCCAATTTGTTCATGAGGGAGATTTTATAGAGGATTTCTGAGTTTAGGTGTTGGAGTCTGCCTTTCTGGCTTTCATTTCCAAATCTATTACTTATTAGTTCTGTGGGTACATGATTGGATGCCTCTAAATCTCAGTTTTTTCATCTGTAAAATGGGGTTGATATCAATACTGTGAGACTGCTATGAGAATACATGAGATATTCAGTATAAAGTTCCCAACCCAGTTCCTGGCATTTAGTGAGCCATGAATTAGTCCTATTTTTATTTTTTATTTTTTGCTACTAGGGATTGAACACAGGGGTGCTTTACCACTGAGCTACATCTCCGGTCCATTTTGATTTTTTATTTTTTTAAATTTTGAGACAGGGTCTCACTAAGTTGCTTAGGACCTCACTAAGTTGCTGAGGCTGGCCTCAAACTTAAGATCCTCCTGCCTCATCCTTCCCAGTCGCTGGGATTATAGACATGCACAACCACACCCAGCTGATGACTGCTATTTTTAACAGTTATATTTTTTTTCATAAGTAATGTCAGGAAGAAATCAGATTTCAAATGTGTATTACAATTCACTAGATGAAAATATCTTATAACTTTTATTTAATTATTTGGCTACTCAGCGGTTGTATTAATAAAGGCTACGTAGATGACTCACCATTCTCATAATTAAATAATTAACGTATACAATCCCACGTCAGAAGAGAAACTGAGATTAAAGTGGCTGCTAGGTAATGTTTCTTACATATTTCTACCTTTGAAATAATGACATGTTTTAAACTTACTTTGGAAAACACACATAATTGTCAGAAGAATTATTCCTCCCCCCCTTAATTTTTCATTCCCAAATTCTAATCTGTACTTTTTATATTTACATTGATTATCTTACCCTTAAATCTTTATTTTTTAAAAGGACTCTTGTTTTGAATGCTTAAGACCAAATACATTCCAGTTTAGATTAGTGGAAACTTAAAATGGTAAGAAGTACAGATATCACTTTCAATTAGAACAGCGACTCAAACTAACAGCTGTTAATTGACAAGGAGTTGGAAAATAAGGTCTTGGTGGCCCTACACCAATGGCCGAGTAAGAGTACTTACTACTAGTGGATTGAAGAGTGATTTGGTACAGTATTTTTAGATGAACTTTTATTGGCTAAACTTAACAATAAGCCAGGCAAAGATAGTTTATTCTATGTAATCATTAATTCTGCATTACGGGGACTTGAATACATTCTAATATGCAAAAGGATTTTATCTGAGCTAACACAAAAAATATACAAAAGTTATATTTCCTATTTTATTAATGAGTACAGTGTCCATGATCAGCGTGACAAAATCTAGTTGCTGTGGGCCTAACAGAAGTGAGAGCATATGTGAATGTATTGCATGTAGAATGCACTCGCACACACACTTGCCACTGCATGCCCATGCATGTGAATTGTGTTTTCCCATTGAGTCTGGAGGAGCTCTGAACATGTTCTTTGTAGATTTTTATAGAACAAAATAGTTTACTAGAACTCTATAAATTCAGTGTTTTATTTTGTTTTGTTTTTAGAGAGACTTTAGACTTATTTTAAGATAAATGTTTCTGGCTTCAGAAGTAGACGGGAAATAAGTGGCTACAGTGCTAATATACAGATACACACACACACACACACACACACACACACACACACACACACTTAGATTATGGAAGTGAATTCAGGATTTTTTCTATTTTTGTTTGTTCTAGCACTTTCATTTGTTCCAGTTTCATATTTTTAAAAGGTATTCTGACTTTGCTGAGACCAGCCTAATGATTTGCCAGTAGTTTAAAGATGCTTCACATGTTGTTCAAAAATATGTTTGGTTCTCTTTGTCCTGTGATGCTCTCTTTGACCTCTCTTTCTCCTTTCTTGGAGAAGATCATCAAATTGATTAAATAGGAAAGCAGCTGTTGAGATATATATATATATATATATATATATATATATATATATATATATATTCTGAGTTTAGAATTTATAGGATATATGTTTCTGTATTTATTTTTAATCTTATTTCAAAATAAATTGCTTTCTGCCTATAGAGGAATTTTTTTTCAGAAAAATGCTAATAGGTAATTGGAGTTATTCTAATCTTGATGCTCTCATTAACATTCTAAAGCAAGCAGCTGTTGAGATATATATATATATATATATATATATATATATATATATATATTCTGAGTTTAGAATTTATAGGATATATGTTTCTGTATTTATTTTTAATCTTATTTCAAAATAAATTGCTTTCTGCCTATAGAGGAATTTTTTTTCAGAAAAATGCTAATAGGTAATTGGAGTTATTCTAATCTTGATGCTCTCATTAACATTCTAAACATGTGGAATGCCTACTCATTTATTTATTTAGTGAATCTATACTGAGCACTGGTTACACACAGAGTACTGGGTGATAAGGGCAGAGCTTAGGATAGAGAAAAATGTAGACATCTTCATAGATGTGGAGTTTTCTAACTTCAGCGTGCATCAGACTCACCTGGAGGGCTAAAATGCTTTTTTTGTGTTGCAAAAAGAGTGATTCTGTCAAGCACATAGAAAGCATATACTCTTAAATATCATGAGAAGGTCTAACAAGATTTCCTGTCTATACTTGGAATTCCTACAGAATTTTTTGCATGCCTCTCTTGATACTTGGTAATCATTGGTTTGATAGAATTTTGAAATCAGATCACTATATTGCAAATTGACCATTTTCTCCACTGATCTCTCAGCTTCCTATAGATAGAGAATGGTTCTTACTCATTTAAAAAAACATCTCTAAACTAGTATAATAATAGCTGGCACATAGGAGGTAGTGATACATGTTAAACAAATGAACGAGAGACTTAGTAAATAAATGTTGATTATGTTGATTACCACTTTGTGTATTACATTCTGTCCTTTGGATAAAGCTTGAAAAAATTTTGACAAAATGGGCAAAATGTAGTGGAGAGAGGCCCGTATATTTTATATAAAATATGATTGAAGAAGCTGGGGCTATTTCTTTTAGTTGGGGAAAGACAGTAGGATGGAAGAATCATGTCCATCTTTGTGACATTTCTTACCTGTCTTGCAGAGATTTGGTCTTTCTCAGGGGATACCCATGACATTTGTATTCCTCTTAGAAATGATGATGATGACAATAATTATAGTAATAGTAATGATAGCATTACTACCAAAAGATACTATCACTGTCATGTACATGTTTATGCATGTACTCTCTTCATATCTGTGTGTCCACACATTCAAACATTTCCTCTAGTTGTTTATTTCAACAGTTGTGCACTTTAAACATTATTATACCCAGTTTGTTGATGAGGAAACTGCACACTGAGGTGAAGTTACTTCCCTAATGTAACAGCTAGAAAGTCTTAAGGTTGGAACTCTCACCCAGATTGTTTTCAAGTCCAGTGCTTTGTATCCCCTTTCATGCATTTTATTTTAGATATTATAGCAGTTTGTGAACCTTTCTCATCACTATTAGTCTATAATCTCTTTTGGAGCAAACAACTTGTCTTATTAATATTTAAATCTCTCACTGTGCTTTGTTCTAATCTAGGTACAGAAAAATTTCCTAAATAGTTATTTTAAGCACGTAAGGGAAATATTAGAAAGAAGAAATATACTTTTTAATGTTATTTCATGAGTCAAATTTTGGGCTAATCAGGTGATCTTACAGAAAGTAAGCTCCAGCCAAAGGTAATAGTGTTCTAAGAGGCATAGTTGCCCACTCCTAAAATGACATGTCTTGTCAAATAGGGAACTTTTTATAAGGGTAGAAAAGCTCTTGGTAGGGAAGAATGGTTTAGAAGGAAGCCTTCTTAGAGGAGGTGTTTTAGTCAGCTTTTTTACTATTCTGACTAAGGGACCTGGTCAGAACAACTATGGATAAAGAAAAGTTTATCTGGGAGCTCACAGTTTTCAGAGGTCTCAGTCTAAAAGTGGCTGGCTCCATTCCTTAGGGCTCAAGGTGAGCAGGGCATCATGGTGGAAGAGTGTGGTGGAGGGAAGCAGCTCACATGATGTTCAGAAAGCAGAGAGAGAGACTCCACTTGTCAGATTACAAAAAAAAAATTTACCCCAAGACCATGCCCCCAATACCCATCTCCACCAGCCATACCCTACCCACCTTCAGTTATCACTCAGTTAATCCCCATCAAGGGATTAATTCACTGATTGGGTTAAGGCTTTTGTAACCTAATCATTTCTTCTCTAAATCTTCAAGCATTGTCTCACACATGAGCTTTTGGAGGACACCTTACACACAAACTATGTAGACATCAGTTTACATGCACAACTGTTTTACCTTTGAGTTCAGGAAGTTTGTGGATCATAAGTTGCTAGTATTTTTTAATCAATTTGCCTTGTACTTTCTTTCCTTTTTTTGTGATATCAAAGATAGCACAAATTATTGCAAATGCCAAAATATCTGTAACATAGTACTTCTGAATGATCCTGTAGAGATAAGTGTAAGAGATATTTTAAAAATAGGGTATAAATGGTTATGAGTATTTGATCTGACTTTGTTTACATAGGATTTAAGCAAGTTAAATATACCTGGAGCCTACGTTGCTTAATTAAGATGGTAGGGAAGCAATATGGTACTTCTCAGCAACCAAGGGTGTCTGAACTTGTTTAAAATAAAAAATTTAGTCTTTAAAAAATATAGAAATTTTAAAGAACAGCTATTGAAAGAGAATTCTCACATAATGTATTTTGTCATTGGGCTGCAGTGCCTTGCCAGGGTAATTTCTCCTGCACAGGAGGGGATAAGCCTCCTGAGAAAACAGTCTGAAATAATTAGTGAAGAAATAAAAGACAGAGTGAAAGAATAGATTTAAGGCAGAGCACCTGATAGGCCTAGCCCACACAGGAGCTGGAGCTACCAATTGAAAAATGGCTTGGATGGGTTACTTAAGAGGGTATATCAAAGGCAGGGATAAGGTTTCAGGGGTGGAATCTTGCTTCATGATGTCTTGCAGTCAACAGATTGATTGGCATGTTGGCAGGTTACACCTATCTCTGAGAGCTTGTGTGGCTACAGCAGGTCACCCCATCTCTGGTGCTATGTGGGACCTGGCAGAGCTGAATAGGACTCACATGTATCTGGGCAATCTTACCAGCACGATTGCCACTGGAAGTTCCCAAATACCAGATTTTCTTATTCAGTGGGCGTCCCTGCACATTCGGTCCACACCACACATAATCCATGTAGGGCTCTTGACAGTATTTTAACCACTTAAAGTATGCAATATGGTGTTTTTAGTATATTTATCATTATCTAATTTAAAACATTTTCTTGCCTAAAGTTCTGATGCAAACCTCCAGTTAAATCCCTGTCATTGAGGAAGATGACCACCAAGGTTGTCAAGAGCTTAGAAAGGGAAGAAGGAGATAACCCTATGGGAAAACAGAAAAGCAGCAAAGCTTTGTAGGAAAGGAATTCAGGTAGAGGCTTCCATGTAGCTAGGTAGACTGAGGACTTACTTTAAGCAGGAGTGAATGTTGAACATGATTTTGAAAGAGGAGTCAAATACAACCTGGCAGCATCTTGTGGGTCATTCAGGAGACAAATGATGAATGCCTTTAGCAACTGGAAATATCAAGGTTTGAAAGAGGCAGGGAGGCCAGCATTAACTTGCTTGGCTGAGACCTCCTGTGCCAGAATAACCTGGAGCACAAGGCAGCTAGGTGAGTGGCCATGGGTAGACCCCTGTTAAAGCACATGTAATTCAGCTCTGATAAATTCAGCCAATCTATAAAGGGTTAGTACAAAGGAACATTTGAAAGAAGAAAACAGTTAGTATGGGCAAATTCAGTCTCAAAAGTTGCATGTATGTTAGTCCTCCTGGACTTGAACTTTACTTAATAAGGGAGCCAGTTTCCAATAGATTCCTGTGTGTGTGTGTGTGTGTGTGTGTGTGTGTGTGTGTGTGTATGTGTATGCATGCGTGTGCACGCACACACGCGCATTTGTGTGTGTATTTTAAATTACAGAAATATACAGGGGCATTGTACCTCTTTTGTAATCTTAATGGCAATCTGGTAAATTTTACTCTATTAGGGTTGTGATTTCACAAAAACATCTTATAATTATATATCATAGAATGAATTGTTGATTTTCACCTGCATTATAAGCCATCTGGTGTTAAGTGTCATTAATATTAATTATTGTCTTTCCTAGTCAGCTGAAGTTGAAAGCATCTGTTCCCATTAGAAACAGAGGCAGAGAATCAATCTGCCATGTGAGGCAAGGGGCTTTGTAAATAAAACTTTTGCTGCAGAGTCAAATGTAAAATTTGACTAATCAATATTTAAATGCTTAAAGGTAGTGCACATTTTCTAATTTGTAAAAATTTAGTTTACTTGCATTGGAAGTTATATGGTTAGCTGACTTCTCAAAATGGATTTTTACATCTTATTATTTTTATCTTTGCCAAACTGTCACTCCTTGACTAGTTCTACTTCACCATTTACCAGTTGTACATGGCTTTTGGGTGGGTTATTTAAAAGCTATGATCTGGATTGTTTCCTCATTTCTAAATAATATACAAAGTGATTGTGAAGATTATATGATGGTGCACAGTATCAACACACATCCCCTGCATGTGGATACAAACTATTCTCAACTGTATAGTAGCTCATGTTTTTATTAATGCTGAAATAAATCAGGAAATAAATGGATCAGAATTTGAAATTTATTGTTATTAAGCCAGAATTTAAAAAATCCAACCCTTGAAATGTAATGATGTTTCATTTTCTTAGAATCACTGAATTTTACATTGCCGTTCCGGAGGGAAGTTGAGAACCCATTATAGAGATAGTATGTAATTAACTTTTTTAGCTATTTAGGAAGCCCCAGCTGGAGTTGCCATTATTTTATAGATGGTAACAGAGGCCTTTGGGTGAAATGGCTGGTTAAAATTTATCATGATACAGTTATAAAGTGAATGTGAGAAAAGGGAGATACAAAAAAATATTGTTTATAATCATGTTGAGACATATAATTTTATAGCATTTTCTTAAGCATCCTTGTTCACTGGGCAATCTACTCTTCCTAATACTTGAGAATAAAATTGAGGGACCTAAGGGCTTACAATACATAATTTTCTACTAACTAGAAATAATTGTGGAAAATTTCTTTTAATTTTGATTCTTCTGGTTCAGTAGTAGACTTCCTATGGCAGAAGTTGTTTTAAAGGATTAAGAACATATTCAGCAGATTATTAGACATATGGGAGAAATGTTTAGTCTGATTTTCAAAAGCTATATTTTGTTATGAAAGAGTTTTTTTATTTTTCTGTTTACATCAGAATATTGTTTTCCCTGGAACATATCGATTTTGTTTTAGAATAGCTAATTCATTTGATATTTCTGGTTTCAAAGTGAGACTATCAAGTTTATGATAACAGCTTTTTAGGTATGGCTGAGTTAGTTATTTTCTTATATCTTGTTTTGTGTGGGGTGAGTACAGGTGTGGAAGAGGATAAAGGATGGTGTTTAAAGGACTGTTCTCCCTGAGGGTAGAGGCTGTCTGAACCCTTAGATTCAGAACACATGAAACAGGGCCTAGAAGCTCCAGAGAAAATAATTTAGCTATAGCTAGACAGACATCAAGTTATTGAAAAAGACCCAGAGAGCAACAAATATTTGTGAACCATTAGGATTGAAATAGGAAGCCTTTTCTATTCATTTTGAAAAATGATCTTTTGCCATCACTGTGTGCAAAGTATGGTGTGATGTGCTGTGGCTAGAGGATAGGGAAAGTGCAGTGGAGGTCTCAGATGAGAAGATAAAATCACTGCATAGAAACCCACAGTTATTGAATAAGGTGAATGACTGGATAGAAGGGTAAGGACAATAATCAGGTTATCTATATTTTAAAAAGGGATTTCATCATGAGGAACTGCTGTGTATGTGGACCCTAAACTGTGTATGTAGCTTAGGGTAAAAACAATCATAAGGATTGGTCATTTCTCCACCAAACTGCTTTTTCTGTTATTTTGTCATTGATATTTTAGATTTTCTTCAGCTAGCCCTTCTATTCTGCCACTGTTTTCCCATTTCCTAGGCTCCAGTATAATGTTTTTGTGATAACGTATGCTTGCTTACTTTTTATAGACACAGATAATGTACAAGTGGATAGAACCCAAAATCTGCAGGGAAGATCTCACTGATGCTATTAGATTGCCCCCTTCTGGAGAGAAGAAAGATTGTCCACCTTGCAACCCTGGATTTTATAACAATGGTTCATCTTCTTGTCAACCCTGCCCTCCTGGGACCTTTTCAGATGGAACAAAGGGTAGGATGTCAGCGGTCCATGAGTTGAACCTGTAGCAAAATAAACTTGTTGGACTATTGTGACCTTATTCTAAATTGTTTTTATGGAAGAATTCTTTTAAGAGACAATTTTCTTATCTTATTGAGACCAAAGTAGATAATAGCATTGTGAGACCACAATGGCTTATTTAACATATGAAGTGATCTGTTTTAATGGCATGTTGTATGACACTCTCTCAATGGAATAAGTGAAAGTTATGTGTACACATACACTGCAGAACAGTATACCACTATGCAAGCAAAAATGCCAAATATATACACATACCAACACATTCTACCCAGAATTTTTTCCAGATCACTTTTTAAAATTTACCAATTTCTAAGGAAATTGATGGACCAATCTCTCCCCTTTCCACCTCCCTCTCTGCTAATTATGGTTTTGTGATGCTTAGAGGAATGAGAAGTTGTCCAGGTGCAGTTTAATTGTTTTGTTTTGTTTTTTCTTTTTGCCCCACTTGTCTTCTGTAGAATGTAGACCATGTCCAGCGGGAACGGAGCCGGCACTTGGGTTTGAATATAAATGGTGGAATGTCCTTCCTGGCAACATGAAAACTTCCTGTTTCAATGTTGGGAATTCCAAGTGTGATGGAATGAATGGTGAGTTCAGAGACACCATCTTGGCAGCAGATACCATTCTTTTATAGACTCAGCTCTTTAAAACATGCCAAATATAGGCACAAGGAACTTCAGTCTTATTCAGCTATGTGTCCATCTTCCAGGATTCACATTAAAACAGTAAATACAGTAAGATGACCTTCCTATAAAAAACATAAAATGCAGCAGTTACCCCCTTTTCTGTACTTTTACTTTCTGCAGTTTCAGTTACCTGCAGTAAGCAGTGGTCTAAAAATATCAAGTGGAAAATTACAGAAATAAACAATTTGGGAGTTTTAAATTGCATGCTATTCTAAGTAGCTGATGAAGTCTCATGCCATTATGCTGTGTCCCACCCAGGATGTGAATTATTCCTTTGTCTTGTTACAGTGCTGTTCAGCTATACAGTCTGTCCACTGGTTACTTGGTAGCCATCATAGTTAACAGAGCCACTGTGCAGGTGCCACGTGTTTGTTCAAATAACTCTTTACGTAATATGGACAATTCAGGGATGCCAAAGAGAAGGTGCTGAGTAGTGATGCTGGCAGTTCAAATGTGCTTGAGAGAAGCCAGAAAGTGCTTCCTTTAGGTGAAAAGGTAAACATTCTCAACTAAGTAAGGAAAGAAAAATGTTGCATGCTGAGGTTGCTAAGATGTGAAATTGTGAAGGTAGAAAAAACTAAATTTGTTCTAGTATTGCTATTTTATTTCAAGCTGCAAAAATTACAGCTGCAGTGTATGATACGTGCTCAGTTAAGATGGAAAGGCATTAAATTATGGTGCTCAGTTTTATCCAGTTTTAGACATCCACTGGGGTTCTTGGAACATGCCCTGAGCATGTATTAGTTTTGCATTTTTTTGGAGTCAGTTTCAAAGTAGATATTGAAGATCACCATTTATGACTATAAATACCAGTATAGAATTGCCAACATAACAAAATCTGTGTTGTTTACCCTAAAGAGGAATATGTCAGCATCTCTGTCTTTGGCTCAATACTGTGCCATGGTAAAGGATTTATGATCTCAAATTCCCTTAACCATAGAGTCTGTGAGTGTGTTATTTAAATACGTATGATCCCCACTAATCAAAAACTTGAAAATGTGGCTGAGTTCTGTAGGACTGTTACTCAATATTATTGTTTCCATAGTGTTTGTTGGTTGAATGAATCACATTATCAACCTATGTATTTTTAAACTTGACACTAGAGACTGGTATTAAAAATACCAGGGCTTTACACTGAAATGCATTCTTTAATTTTATCAGTTCATTAATATTTTTTTATCAGCTTTCCTTTCTCCATATTATACTTGTTTATTATGTAAACACACATACATGCACACTCACACAAGGCACACTTTTTAAATGCATATGCTTTAAGTTAGTACCTTGCCAAATAGACACATTTGGGATGTAGGAAGTGATATGTACACATGGATAGTGAGATTGGCAAATAATATGTCTTTAAATAATATTGATTAATATTGATTACAGATGAGTGAAAGAGGGAAAGATAAGACCTTAATATATCAAATGTGAAATATTCCTCTTTTTAAACCAGTAATCCCAGTTTTAGGAATTTATCGGGGGGGGGGGGATATCACAATTATTATCTGGCCATGAAGGTTTATGTTCCTAAAATATGTGCTGTGATTGAATTCTAAGTATATGAAGTTAAAACCTATTGAAAAAATAAAATCAGGAGGACCAGAGTATTGAATGAACTATAAAAGGACTAAGATGTGTGTGTGTGTGTGTGTGTGTGTGTGTTGTGTATTCACTTGGTGGATGAGATTACATAGAACTTTTACATGATCTTACCAACGCTTTACTCTAACTCTCTATGACAATATTGATTTACTTGCTTACTCTTTTACTTAGAAGGTATATTTTTTATATTTCCATTAAGTTTTAGAAATGTTAAATTATTTTAAAAGCATGAAGCTCTGTTGTACTAGTGTGTGATAACGAAATAGTAAACAGTAAAGAACACAAAGATACAAGGTGGAGTATGTTTCTGTGCTGTCATAGCATCAACCTTGTGTGAGGAGCAGCACTCTGAGGAGGATCCAGTGAGAGGTGGATAGCCTGCCTGTGTGGGACAGTTGCTGCCCATGGTGATGGAGTTAGAATGGGTGTGGTTTGACCGACTTGACTGTGTGGCTTGGAATGCTTTGAGGCTCATCATTTTCAGTATGAATTCTGCATAGTTTTAGAACAGATATGGAGAAGTAAATTTTTGTGTATTGGAATTATGTTTAAAAGGAATTCCAATGCAGTCATTGTATGGATTCTATATAAAAATAATTTTACAATCTGGTTCAAGAATTTTTAAATCCTATTTTCCAACTCAATAGTAACTTCTGGGGATTTATACCAAGGAAACAATGTGATGTAAAGAAAGAAATCATATCAAAAGATATTAATTTTAGTATTTATAAGAGGGAAAAGAGGCAAAAACTAAAATTTCAACAATGCAAGTATGGCTAAATAAATTATGTAATAACCATCTAACATTATTAAGTTATGAAAACTAGAAGAGGAATTTTAATGAGGAAATATTTTTGATATAATGATTTGAATAGATAATGCTAAATGAAAAAAATCAGAAAATAAAATGGATTATATAGTAAGTCTTAGATGTATTAAAGAAAAGTATACAATAGAAAAATCACTGAGAGAAACACCAAAATATTGAGGATATAACTTGGGGTGGGAAGTTTCTATGAAGTATGAAATTACTTCGTTTACTTTGCTACATTTGGTAAGTGTTCCTCATGGACATATATTGCTTTCAGAATCAGAGTAACAGCAGGAGATATTGCTTGAAAAATATATCCATTTGACCCGATAATTTCTTCACTGAGATTCTTTTTAATAGAAATACCTAAGTACAGAAAAACCACCAAATGTATTCATTATATTATCACCTATACTAATTAAAGGCAAAAACAGTCTAAATGGCTAAAATGGATATGTGGTCAACATTGAATGATTTGGTAAATTGTGAAAAATCAATTTTACCTGTCTAGATCATAAAATGTTAATGTAGTTACTAACATATTGATGAAGTAAGTACACATAAAATACTTATGAAATGGTATTCATTTATAAAACCTGATATTCAAGGTTATCTGCGGTAGAGCTCAGGGGTATAAAAGCACACATGCACTGAAAGACAGTAAAAGAAACACCTCAATTGTTAATGCTGGTTGTTTCTGATAAGATTATAAGTAATTTTAGGTTTCATCTTTTAAATTTTTTGTAGCCTTAATATTTTTATAGCAAATATAAATATGGTTTTAAAAAACAAAAAATTCAAATATAAAGTGTATACAGAAAGATGGAAAGTGTGGAATTTACTTAGAAAAAACACAAAATTGCACATGTAAAAATGCACACACAGACAAAACCTGGAAGGGAATGTCTAAAAATTATAACAATTATTAGGGTGTTAGTTTAAAAGTAAATGGTTTTTAAACATTATTTTAATTTGTTTTAACTAGTTATATGTGACAGTAGAATGCATTTCTGTACTTTGATATATCATACATAGATAGAATATAATTTCTCATTTTTCTGAGTGTACATGTAACAGAATCATATTGGTCATGTAGTCACATATATACATACAGTAATAATGTATGTTTCATTCTATTATCTTTCCTATCCCCATATTCCCTCCCCTCCCCTCCCATCACTTCCCTCTGCCTAATCGAAGGTAATGCTATTCTTCCCTAGTGCCCCCTCCACACACACCTTATTGTGAATTAGCATCCGCATATTAGAGAAAACATTTGGCCTGTGGTTTTGTGGGATTGGCTTATTTCGTTTAGCATGATATTCTCCAACTCCAACTATTTACTGACAAATGCCATAATTTCACTCTTCTTTAAAACTGAGTAATATTTCAAATTTTTTAGATCATTTTAGCTGATAGTGTTCCATATAGTTGTGATGATTGCGAATGGATGAAATGACAACTACCTCACAGTAGAAGGCTAGTGCTTCCTAGGTTTCTGCCAATTTTGATCTGTCCTACTTTTCAGAGCTCTAGTTTAACATTCCTGAGTTGTGTTGTACATACAACACAGTGACCATTAGCCCCATGTGGCCATTGAATACTTGAATTGTGACTAGTTCAAATTGATGTGAACTGCAAGTATAAAATAAGCATAAGTATATTCAGTGTTTCAGTATGAAAAAAGTGAAATGTCTGCTAATTCTTTATATTAATTACATTGGATCTCTTTATTTTCTGTCGTTGGTGTCTTTCTTGCTTAAATTGGTATGGGCATATTAGTTCCCCAGGGAACTTCCCAACAGAGTCCCCTGTCTGGATGGCTTAAAACAACAGAATTGTATTCTCAATATTTTGGAGGCTACACATCAAAGTTTTACTGGGTGATGTTCTCTGAAGCCTGGAGGGGAAGATCCCTTCTTGCCTTTTCCAGCTCGTGACCCCCCAGGTGCTCTTTGGCTATGGCAGTTTAATTTAACTCTGACCTCTCTTCTTCACCTGGCCCTCCTCCTTCTCTGTGTATGTCTGCGTCTTCACTTGGTGTTGTCCCCTGTGTGTCTGTCTGTCCTTATTTCCCTCTTCTCTTGAGGACCAGCTGTTTTGGCCCATCATAACGACTTCATCTTAACTTTGTTTCAGCTGCCAAGCCTCTATTTCCAAATAAGGTCCTGTTCACAGGTATTGAGAGTTAGGATTCCAACAAATCTTTTCTGTGATTCAAACCATAGTAATAAATGATCTGTTTGACCTACTGTTTGGCTAGAGTTTCCCTGAGAGTAGTAGCAGAGTTCTCACAAGGTAGTGCCCCAAACTATACTGACAGTGGGATCAGTTGGAATTCCAAAGAAAGAAGCTCTAAATATTAGGATGATCGGTCCAAAGCACTTTTTAGGGAAACTTACATACTGAGTGTTACAACATAACTTCCCAAAGGCACAGTGAGTTTGGAAGGTTCTACCTAGGTTTTTCTACACTGAGGGTTAGGACAGAGTTTACAGGAGGGTTTGAGGAACTTGGCTTAGGGACAGGGCTGGTTTATTTCAGAGTTTTGAGCAACAGTGTAAACACTGTATCAGTGCTTGGGAATCGTCACCACCTCTGGATTCGGTTCAAGCTTGCTGGAAAAACATGCATCTGGCCAGGTCATGGGATAGTCAAGGAATTCTGTATTTCTTGGTCAGTTCAGAGAGAACATGGAAAATCTGGAGGACTCTACAATAAGCAATATCGAAACACAAGAGATGTTTCCTCTCAGTTATAGTAATCCCTTCCAAATACTGTTCTCTTGATATGTCTTTTAATCCTTCCTTTTCTTTGTCCTTTCCTGCTCTTCTGTCCTTCTTCGTGGCATTTCTGAATGTTAGGAGGCATTCTTAGGAAGCATTTGTGAAGTCTTCCTTTTCACCCTCACCATACAATAGCAGTAAACCTAAAAGCCTCTCATATTATCTCCACTGCAGCCATGGGTATCTCTTCCACTGGACCAGTTTGTTTTATGGTTATTTAACTCTTAGCATTAGGAGTTGATTTGCTTTTTTTTTTTCTTTTAACCACCTGAACCTTTAGATAGCAGAACAATGAGCACTTAGAAACAGTAGATTAGTATATATTATTTAAAAGACTAGCTTGATTGAGGTCTATTTAACATGCTACCTTTCTATAACTGTTGATTATGTGTTTCAAAAACTACTGAATCACCAATCTAGCACTAATATAAATCCTTAGTTTCTTTCTCCTACTTCTTGAAGTAGTGATTATTGACATTGATTACTATAGACTAGGATTTTCTATCTCAGTGTATTAGAATTAATAAAGACTGTTTAGTTTTTTTAAAAATCATGCTTCAGTGAGAAAACTATTGTTGGTTTTACCATTAGATAATTTTATGCAGAACAGTACATTCATAAAATCTTTATTGGTATCTACAAGTTTCCCTATGTATGCAATTTACAATTGACTTAAAAACAGGTAATTCTTTTGGAGTATTTCTAACTTTGAACATAAACACTAATTCCCTTGTAACTTTTACCTTAAATAAAATGATTTTTGAGTATCATTAATGGAATTTTTACTAATAAAAATGGCTTTTTTAAATTCACAGGTTGGGAGGTGGCTGGAGATCATATCCAGAGTGGAGCTGGAGGTTCTGATAATGATTACCTGATCTTAAACTTGCATATTCCAGGATTTAAGTAAGGAAAACCAATTCTGATTCCTTTCTGTAAGAATCTTCACACCTGCTTCCCTCTAGAAATATGGCTGCCATTATTGCATATATTAGTATTGCAAATCTTAGTAAAAATAAGCTGTCACAGAATTATGTATTAAATTTAGGAATATCTATAGAATCAGTGACTGAGAAACTACAAATGTTTAGTTGTGTGTCGCTGGAGTGAAGCTAAAAATGTTTAGAATAATACATCAAAAGCTTCCATTATTCTTGGATGCTTAATGAAGAATCTTAGCCTAAATTGTTTGCAGGAATATTTTTTGGTTTATTTATTTATTTTCTCAGTTCTACCTGTAAAGGAAGATGTTACAAATTGATTAATCTCATTTTGCTTTAGTCCCCCTTGTTGAGATTTCCCTGTAGAGGTCTTTATTTTTTTAAATAATTTTTTATACCTTTACTTTGTTTATTGATTTTTATGTGGTGCTGAGGATTGAACCCAGGGCCTCTCACATGCTAGGTGAGCGCTGTACCGCTGAGCCACAATCCCAGCCCTAAGAGGTCTTTATTCTTGCTTTAGGATCAGTGGGAGCATAGACAGCAGGAGATGCAGGCATATTTTCATGGCTGTGTAGACTTCACCTTAGAACAAGGTGGGTGGACTTGCAGAATCTGAGTGAGGAAGAAGTTGTGCTTTGGAGGAAGCTATAGAATAGGGAAAGAGAAGAACTACGTAGTTTTCAACTTAACAGGAAGAGTTGCTTAATTTTGTTGTAAAATTATATTTAGGACATAATGTAAATATTGCAATTTTAATCTGTCAAATAGACCACCAACATCTATGACTGGAGCCACAGGTTCTGAACTAGGAAGAATAACCTTTGTCTTTGAGACCCTCTGTTCGGCGGACTGTGTCCTGTACTTCATGGTGGTAAGTCGAAGAGAAGCTTTCAAAGGCAGATTTTAGAATTTATCATTCATTCTTTCAAGTATGAATTTCCTTATGCAAGTTGGAATGAGAATCCTATTGTTCTGGATATTATTAGAAGTTTCTAGAAAACATTTAAACATGTTTAAAGAAGTCATTAAGAATTGTGCAAAATAGAAATGAATTACAGTAGATGGGGTAGAGAGAGAAGAGGGGAGGGGAGGGGAGGGAAGGGGCGATAGTAGAGGACAGGAAAGGCAGCAGAATACAACAGACACTAGTATGGCAATATGTAAATTAGTGGATGTGTAACTGATGTGATTCTGCAATCTGTATAGGGGGTAAAGATGGGAGTTCATAACCCACTTGAATCCAATTGTGAAATATGATATGTCAAGAACTATGTAATGTTTTGAACAACCAACAATAAATTTTTTTTTAAAAAGTAATATATGAAAAAAAAGAAAACATTTATTCCTCCTGGGGAGAAATAAGTGAAGAGGCCCAGGTGACTGATAAAGTCCAGGGAATATTAACCTGTAGAAAATTCCTTTGTAAAAATATGCACCAGCAGAATGAAAATTCTCCCTTAATTACCAGTCAGCAATTTAAATTCTTAGGAAGGAGAAGTGTATTAATAAGTAAGAGCAGAAAATAATGAAGGTGTGGAGCACTGGGAAAAAAGAAAATTTTTCTTATTAAATTTAACACATTTAGAAAAAGGACTTTATTATCCACATGTCATAATTTTGCCTGTTTCTTTTCTTACTCCCAGCTTGAGAAAAGTAACAATTCAAAACTCACCAAGACCTCAAATAGATTTTAGGAAATTGCTGGCTAAGATTTTAACATTACTTTTTTGGGGCAGTACTGGCAATTAAACACAGGAGCATGTAACCACTGAACAACACCCTCAGTGATTTTCATTTTTTTTTATTTTGAGGTAGGGTCTTGCTAAATTGCCAAGGATGATCTCATTTGCAAGCCTCCTGCCTCAGCCTCTCAAGTTGTGGGATTACATCTGTGCATCATGGCATCTGGCTTAACAGTACATTTAAATAGTGACTTCATAGATCTGCTCTGTTTTTGTTTGTGCTTTTCCTCAGCAACCCTTTATTAACTAGTTAATAATCATTAACGACTTCCCCCATGATATGCAAGATATGTGGAGATTTGAATGTTTTGTGATTATTAGCTACTTAAATGGAGACTAATTTATTCTGAAAAAAATATTGATTTTATAGCAGTAAAATAAATTATGGATGATCTTCAATACATCATCTATTTACCACAAATAACCAATAGGTCTTCAGTTATTCTGGTGCTATTCCTTTATTTCTATAATCTGTTAGATGGTGCCTTGCTGAAATTCAAACTATTGTCTTTCAACTAGACTGTCAATAATCTCCTACTTTGCTGTTATGTCTATCATCTATGCTGCTGTCAAAATTAAAATGCAAATTTCCAGGCCCTATTCTAGACTTACAGGAGCTCTGTGGAAGAGACATAGCAGTCTATATTTGTAAGGTATATTATATGTCTATTAATACTGAGTTTGTGCTTTATTTTATATTTTTCCACTCTTTTAGGATATTAATAGAAAAAGTACCAATGTGGTAGAATCATGGGGTGGAACCAAAGAAAAACAAGCATACACCCACATCATCTTCAAGAATGCCACATTTACATTTACATGGGCATTCCAGAGAACTAATCAAGGTCAAGATGTAAGTTCCAAACACTCTTTTTTAAAAAAACATAAAGATGGTGCCCCCTTGTGGAGATGTACACAAAGAGATCACGCAAATATGGATGAAAAAGACTTAGATTTTTATTCATGTGGAATCAGTTATCTGGCTAAGTAATGGATTGGTGTAAAAATGGGTAACTTATTTTATCTTTTGAGAGTAAGAAAGTCTGAAATGTAATAACAATATTTCTTTGAATTATTATGAATTCTGAACTAATTATAGTTGCTTAAAGCTTAAGAGAAAATCTAATTTTGTAGCTATTTAAAAACTTGTCTCTATTAAAGCTTTCTGAGATTTTGAGAAGGTTGGTAACTGTCTTCTTTGTCTGAATTATCTGGTGCTGTTTGATTTTTCTATGATGTTATCTCTTAGGGAATGTGTCAGTACATACAATTGGGTTAACACACAAGATCATTTCCTTTTTTGTATCTTTCTGGCTAGATAGACCTCATTCCCCGCTGCCCTAAGTAAATTCCATTGTGTGTTTTGATGGTAGTAGCATTGTTATTTTTGGGGGTCTTCATACATATGACCTTAGCAGGATGAGAACAAGGTGAATATCTTGTTCAGAAATGGCCTTAATGCTATGGCGGCAAATTAGTGCATTTTCTGTCTTCCCTTGAGGCTTCCAGTGGGGAACCTATTCTCCAGATTTTACCTGATTCCACTTGTTCTTCAGGAGGGTTCAGATCACCATCTTGTGGGTCATGAACATGTGATGGGATCTTACTTCTTTCTTCACTTCTTTTGTATCTTTGCCCAGGTTCCCCACACACAAAAAAAAAAAAAAAGAAAAAAAAAGCCATTTGGATAAACATTATTCTACTAGAGCTAAGTTCACTGCTTGATGAAAACCAGACCTTAATTAACCCAATATCACAAGAAGGAAAATATAGTAAGATCCAGGATCTTGCTCCCTATTTCATATCCTTTCAGCAGAAATAAATATACCTGTGTGAGAAAAAACACTAGAGAAGAGAAGGAAAGCTGAAAGGAGTGATGTGATTTTATCAGTATTACACAGCTAGTGTCTGAGTGGGGACAAGAGGTCCTAATCTTCCAGGATTTTCTGTTCCCTAGTCTATTGGTTTTCTACCCCACCTCAGTGTGTCACTAGATTTAGACTTAGCTCTGAATAAACAATGATGAGAGAAAAGTTGTTCCTTTGCTAAAGTTCAGCAGTTCTTCCAAACATAAAAGTCTATAAATATGCTCGAGTTTATACCAAATACAACATATCTCATGTCAATTGTGGTGAGACTCCAAGTTTCCAAATTCAAGATTTAGGATTTTTTAAAAGAAGAACCAAATAAGAGTGATATTAATTCATCAATTACAAACTATTAGGTTGGAACACTCTACTTAGTTGTTTTGGTGATATCAACATAAAATGTAATCTAGTTGTACAACTAAGCTCCAAGGCAGAAGTCATTACTTTCTGCTTTCTTTTTAGAATAGACGGTTCATCAATGACATGGTGAAGATCTATTCTATCATAGCCACTAATGCAGTTGATGGGGTGGCGTCTTCATGCCGTGCCTGTGCCCTTGGTTCTGAACAGTCGGGCTCATCGTGTGTCCCCTGCCCCCCAGGCCACTACATTGAGAAAGAAACCAACCAGTGCAAGGAGTGTCCACCTGACACCTACCTGTCCATACATCAGGTCTATGGCAAGGAGGCTTGTATTCCCTGTGGGCCTGGGAGTAAAAGCACTCAGGTAAGTAGGCTGTGTTTCGGTTATTCTCAGAGAAGCATATTTTAATAGGTCAACTCAAGCATTCCCCTTAATGTTTCTCTAGAAGTTATAACGTTGCTATTTATTCTGGGAAAAAAAGAGGTTTTTAATTCCCTTTCCTGTTTGCTCTCTTTTTATGTTTAGGCAGCACTGAATGCGTGCTATGAATGGGCTGGTTACTAAGAACTTAAAATGTTAAGCAAAGAACTCAAATAAGAAATGTTTTCCAAAAAATGTTAGAATTGATTTCTTATGCATTATTAAGGTAGAGCACATAAAATACTTTTGTAGGTTGGCTGTAGGAATTATCTGAGATGTAGAAAGTGTATCTTACAACATTTAAAGTACAGGTTAATGTTATATTACAGATGGAAGTGAAAGTAGTTTTAAATTGGCATAACAGGAAATTTTTACTATTTCTTAAAGTACCTTCCTATAAGAAACTTATTTAAGAATAACTTTACTCTGACTTTAAAAGAATCTGAGGCCTCTAAACTCTGCCTAAAAAAATTTACAATGTAGAAATTTTCTGTATTAGGATGGTAAAATATAACAAAGACAAAATTACTGAAATAGTTTTTATACCTAGAACTTTTAAGGACACATTTTTAGTAGTAGTTAATACTTTCTTTATTTCAATATTGTTTCTTTGTGTCTTGTTCTCTTTAAATAAAGGATCACTCAGTTTGCTATAGCGACTGCTTTTTCTACCATGAAAAAGAAAATCAAAGTTTGCATTATGACTTCAGCAACCTCAGCAGCGTGGGTTCCTTAATGAATGGGCCCAGCTTCACCTCCAAAGGAACAAAATATTTCCATTTCTTCAATATCAGTTTATGTGGGCATGAGGTGAGTTTTAGATATCAAGAAGAGACAGAGCTGTATACTAGCTCTGATTAAGTTGATATTTTCTGTGTTGGTAAACCAGTAAAATCTCCCTGGGAACTAAAAACCAATGTCAGGAACTGAGCTTTGATTGCTTAAATCCTCTGTTCCTTCTTATCATATTTACAGCTTTCTTTACCAGGGTTGACATCATTTGGTTCTCTGTCCATCAAAGCATTATTCAGTTAGCTGAACCCCAAGACTTGGAGCTGTGGTGTAGTGCATTGAAAGTTTTCTTTTTCTTTTTCCTGATAAAATTGGGCGAGGCTTATTAAACCCCATCTATTTTTTCAGGCAAGCAATTATTATTTGAGAGTTTTATTCTTGCTTATTGTATTATGGTTCTCCAGAAACGCAGGAAAAAAATTATATGAGAAAGGATTTATTGGGGGAATTGGCTAATGGGGTTATAGAGGCCAAGAAATCCCATGACAAGCTATGTCTAAGTTGGAGACCCTGGGATACTGGCAGCATGTCTGAGTCCTAGTCCAAAACGTTCAAAACCAGAATGCCAGTTGTATCATTCTCAATTGAAACTGAAGGCCTGAGAATCCCAGAGGTGGGTGGGTGGTGAGAGTAGGGCTGCTGATGTGATCCCTGGAGTCCCAAAGCCAGGGAGCCTGAAATTCCAATGTCCTGGGCAGGAGAAGTGGAGAGTCCCAGTTCCAGAAGTGAGAAGAAATCCTTTCCTTCTGCCTTTTTGTTCTATCTGGATCCCCAGCTAATTTAGTGGTGCCCGCTTGCCTTGAAGTGCATCTTCCCAGTCAGTCCACTGGCTTACACACCAGTCTCCTCCAGCAACACCCTCAAAAACACCTGCAGAATTAATGCTTTGCCAGTTCTCCAGGCTTTCCTTCAGCCAGCCAGTCAAGTTAACAAATCAACCAGCATACTTATATTGTCAGTTTGATGTCTTCAGAAGAAAAATGATTGTAAGAGGAAGTTTTACAAAATAAAAAGGAGATATGCAGGGACAAATATCAATTGATAAGATAGCCTTTGCTAATAATGGAATTTTATTTTTGTCAGAGGAAGCAGAAACTTAAGTGATACTTTTTTTTTTAGTGGATCTATATGTCCAATATTTTTATGGACATATGAAGTTGGTGCTGGGAAGAATGTATATGTATATACCATCAACAAATTTGAGAATGTAATAAGGCATTTCCTCCATGCCTCTTTCTATAGTAACTTCTAAATATTTTCTTCATTATGAAATGCTGTATCAAACTTGTTAAAAGGAAATAGAGATCTGATGAACACAGAAGTTAAAAAAAAAACAGATCTATACACTTTACATGATGTATATTTATCCTTTCTTGACTTTACATGGAGAGATCCAACATACTTACTATATGGGTTAGTCACCCAGTCTGTTCAATAAGTAAATTTATATTAAATACCTATTGTATGTCAGATATTATATGAGGCACGGAATGAGATTAATTCCATTATCTAGCACACTTCCTAGTTTTATCCTACTGTCTCTTCTTCCATCTTCTCTCTTTTTTTTTTCTTTTTTGGGGGTGGGGAGTGGGTTCAAGGGATTGAGTTTAGGGGCTCTTGACCACTGAGACACATTCCCAGCCCTATTTTGTATTTTATTTAATGACAGGGTCTCACTGAGTCACTTAGCACCTCACTTTTGCTGAGCCTGACTTTAAACTCGCCGTCCTCCTGCCTCAGTCTCCCAAGCTGCTGGGATTATAAGCATGCATCACTGTGCCTGGCTCTTTTTATTCTCACTCATTTTATTTTAGTCTTTCCTTTGTTTTCCCTTTCTTTCCTCAGTACGTTCTCTCTGCTCTTTTCCATTATTTTGCCTTAGCTTCAACAATTTAAGATTAGCAAAAAAATATATAGAATCCTTATTGGAGTGAGAAGAACTTGTAGAGGGAGAAAAGTTTATATGTCATGATTGCAAATTGCATTAGGAAAGAAAATTCTGTATACTTTATGTCTTTATTTTATTTTATTTTACTTTATTTTGGGGGGTACCAGGGATTGAACTCAGGGACAGTTGAGCACTGAGTCACATCCCTAGCCCTATTTTGTATTTCATTAGAGACAGGGTCTCATTGAGTTGCTTAGCGCCTGGCTAAAGTGCTGAGGCTGGCTTTGAACTTGCGATCCTCCTGCCTCCTCCTTCCGAGCTGCTGGGATTACAGACTTGTGCCACCATATCCAGCTCTACTTTATGTCTTTCTGTGCACAGTCTATATATCTAAGATAAATGAGATAGTTTTCCTATTTTCTTTTTATATTTCTTTCTGGAAATTATGGAGCAAGCTACAGTTCTTTGCATTGGGACAGCAGTATATTTAAATATACTATGTTTAAATCATCTTTCAATTTTTACAAATAAATTTTGCATTTTAGCTAATGTCTAAATAATTTTAAAAATTAACCTCTTATATTGTCTTCATTTTATAGTTAAACAGATTCACATCACTGGATCTAAGAGTAGGTGAATAAAGATACTTGCAGTAGGTGAATAAAGATACTGTTTAGAATTTGGATGTGCTGGATTTTTGCTGCAATATGACTTTTAGGCTTTCTTTTTCAGCTTTTATATTATCTTTATGCCACACTCAGGCCTGTGAAGGAGAAGGCAAGGCAAGCCTTTTTCCTTGGCATTAAAACCTTTACCAGCAGTTTGTTGGTCTCTTTGCATTCCTTCATATCCTGTGAACTGGACTCTCATAGATGACTTAGTTATATGGCTTCCATCCAACATGAATGAAGAACAGTAGAGCTTGAATAACTGGAGTGGCTCTCAACCTGGGCTGAACATTTGCATTGCCTTGAGAGCTGTTAAAAACACTAATGCCTGGGCTTTACCCCAGATCCCTTAAGTCAGAATCTCTGTGATGAAGAGAGAGCCATACTCTCCTAGAGCTCGGCTAACTGAGATTCAGTTTAGAGACTGACTTTTAGTAAAACCTCTTGCGACTTTGTTTCCTAGGGGAAGAAGATGGCTCTCTGTACTAATAACATATCGGATTTTACAGTAAAGGAAATGGTGGCAGGATCAGATGATTACACCAACTTGGTAGGGGCTTTTGTGTGCCAGTCAACAATTATCCCTTCTGAAAGTAAGGGTTTCCGAGCAGCCTTGTCATCCCAGTCCATCATTCTGGCAGACACATTTTTAGGTAAGTTCCCTATGGTTAATATATGCATGAATACATTTATTCTAAAATTATGGTAATGGTAATTTGTTATGGCACTGGTGATTACCACAGAAGATTAAGACAAACAGGTAACTCTAAATCATTATTTTGTAAAATGATTTAAAAGCTTGTGTGGGGGATCTGATCAACCTCCGAGACTACAAGATTCTGAATTTACATATTAACTCATATGATAAATCATGTTCTATGCCTTTCATCCGATTCTCTAAGAGTTTAAAAAGCAAAATAATTTTTAAAATGAAAGTAAACAAAACAAAAAACCAAAGCAAGAACTGTAGACAAACATAATCTAAATCTAAATTATAGTATATGCCACTAATATACATAATCTTTTCTGAGATCCAAAGTAAACTGGTAGCAAATGTGAGGTGCTGAGTTTCTCCCCATGTGCTCCAGGTGTCTGGGTCCTGAAAGCTATAGGGACGTTTTTAGAAGAAACCAGATTTATAAGTAGTGATTCTTAGGAATCAAGTTCATTGAACTTGACTGAACCTCTGGGGTGAGGGTTTGGAATCCAGCAAGTGCCATGAGTGGTTGTGATGTACAGCGATATTTGAGAATCCGTGCTCTCTTCTTCATAGGCATGCAGCTTCAGATTCCAGGTCAAGGCCCATCACTTGGCTTGCACTCATCACCAGAACTCTGTTAGAAGCAAAGATGCTGTTAATGCTGGCATTTCAGTTCTATCATCATTTTTCTTGCCTCTTATTAAAAAGTCTTGCTTTTCTGCTTATTAGATCAAGAACATTTTAGAGTTATTTTCTGGAAGTTATTAGTGTTCACATATGTATATATAATATGTATGTATTACAAATATATTTTACACATGTATATATTGAAGTGTATGTATTTTGAAATGGCATATGTCTTTCTGTGCTATCCAGACTGGTCTTGAACTCCTGGGCTCAAGTGATCTTCCTGCCTCATTCTCTTGAGTAGCTGTGACTACAGATGTGCATGCTGCAGCAGGCTGGGCACAGAAAATTTACTTTGTCAAATATGTGTATATTGAACCATGATCAAGAAGCTATATTAGCAAAATAGCCTAGCATATTGACAAAACTCACCAGAGGATAACAATTTTAAAAAGTAGATTTTGAACTATTAGAACTAGAAAGTACTTTAGAGAGTATCTAGGTTACTTCATGCATTCAACAGATCCAAAAATAAGACCTAGGGAAGTTAAGTAACTTAAGTTAAATTGCAAGGCCAGGGAGTAGGATTTTTTCTCTTTTGGAGTGTTTGGTAAGTTCCTTATTTTTACCAGGAATGCATTAATTTAATGCAGTATTTCTGGTGAAATGACAGTTATCAAAGTAAAGCTATTTGCTATTCAGATGTACAGAAATTAAATAAACCTAGTTTTCCCATATTGCTTAATAGTTTCTTTTTTAATGTCATTTAGGCGTAACAGTTGAAACCACATTGCAAAACATTAATATAAAAGAAGACATGTTCCCAGTTTCACCAAGCCAAATACCAGATGTGCATTTCTTTTATAAGTAAGTGAAGATACTGCTTTCCTTGACTATTCTTTATCAAAAGGAACGCATATATATCTCTATATATGGATTTTATTTCCCATTCTCTATTGTTAAGTTCCTGGGAAGATATATAATATCACCTCTGGGTGCCTAGCATGGTAGCTTGAATTGAACAGATAATAAAAAAAAAACTGATCATTACGTGACTTAGTAAAAAGAAGGAAACTTGGAATATTTAAAAAGTCTTATGTGATTTCTCTCAAATACACACACACACACACACAAATGTATATATTATATGTATACATGCACACATATGCACTTTTAAATTAGTCAATAAGGACACTCTAGTTCATTGTCTAGGTAGTAATTCTAATTCACACATCAAAACATCAGCCTAAGTAGGTCTGAACCCTGTTCCCTTTAAGAACATTTTGATTACAATTTGATTAAAATTCTATAGCTTTACCAAACACCTTGATTATAGCTTTGTCACTTTACCTGGGAAAGTTATCAACTTTGCATAGTCAAAATAAGTGACCTGAATTTGTATTCTAAATTAGCAAACTTTAATACATTTTTCTTCTTCATAGAGCATGAGAATGATTATACACATGATCTGTATCACCTCTGTTTTTTAAAATACTATTTGCCTCATAATAGGTCTTCCACAACTACAACGTCCTGTATTAATGGCCGATCAACTGCTGTGAAAATGAGGTGTAATCCTACTAAACCTGGAGCGGGCGTGATTTCAGTCCCCAGGTATTCTTATTTATATGTGATTGTTCCACATTTGTATTTTATAATACACATAATAGATATATACATACTTATTTTTAGAGGCAAAACCTAGAATATTATTTTAAAACATTATTTATGGAAATAAAGCAGAAAGAGAACAAAGGTATCTGTAGGTTTTTGTTGACGGATATACTAAGCATGGGTGAAGAAGAAAGAATAGGTACCTGGTCAATATCAATATTTCCCTATCTCCTTAATGACATATCCTTATTCCATTTGCCTTGAATATCTAATTCTTTTGAAAGTTATTTAGGTACAATTAATTACACTGTATACTTGTATTTATTCTTAGTGTTTCATCTAAATTTCCTTGAGAGCTGGATTTAGTACAAGATTAACAACTAACTAGTTGGGTGATCTTGATTAAGTAATCTAACCTCCGAGTTATAGTTTCTTTCTCTGAAAGAGGATGGGACCAAGGTGGAGAGTTTGTAAGATTCATTTATAGCTCCTCAGACTTCTGTTTAATGATAGGGGAATCACTGGTGAGTCTGGCCTACAGGATAAAATACAGTTCATTTCCCTGACTGACTGGCATTGAGGTAGCAGCACTTCACAGTCTAGAGATATGATTATACAGTTCACTTTGTGCGGGCACAGTAGGGGAGCATAAGCAATTTCCTGGGTTTAGAAAACTGTCAACTTAAGTAAAGGCTGCTTTCATGGTGTCTCTTGATTTTTATTTTTCACATTTATTGTTCAGTGTTTAGATTATTTTTCACATGTTTTGTTTAGTATATAGATTATTTCTAATCTTATTGTATTAAGGTATCTTTGGATCGTAGTTCAACTTGCAGATTTTTCTCCATTAAACTGCGAAGTCATGTATTTTGAAAAAGAAAATGATTGATTTTTTTTGATAATTTCATAATAACCCCTGAGAAATTTTAGCTATTTTGTTTATGTCACATCAGGATAGGAAATTAGTGGTCTAAGCATTGCTTCATTTTGTGTATCCTAAAAATAACTATAGTGGAAACACATTGTTTTTAGTTTCTTTTGGGGTATAAAGGCATACCAGCATTCACATCTCACCAACTGCATCTCTCTGGTTTTCACAGACCTACAAATTAATTATTCTTTTCACCTATTCAAGGTGATAGAAGAACGTGATGAGAGGAGTATAAAAGGTAATAAATGACAGAAAAAGGAGCAGGGAGAGACAGATGCTCTGTAGGCTCAGATGATCCTTCTGCAGCCTCTAAGCCAGAGTCCAGGCAGCAAACCACACTGTCTTTATGAAAAGATGTGTTCAGAGGGTACAGTGATAAAAGCTCAAGTCTTTGATCATTCTCTGATAGTCTGCCAGAGAGCCTAGAGTTCAGGTGCTCCTTCTATTTACTGTAGCACATCTGAGGTCCCTTTTGGACCCTGCAACTAACCTCTTGAGGGCTATCCTCTGGGAGCCTAATTGGATGGCTTCTGAAGCCTCTGCTAGGTCTTTGATTCAAACAAATCATGCTCCTAAAGGATAGTTCTCACCTTAAGAGAATTTATTACTCTGACTCTGCTAAGGTACGTCTTGATGTTTTAATGCAATAACAAAAATAGTCTCAAAGGGTTAAATGATGGCATCTAGAAACTGAACTTTTCCTTGAGAGGAGAAAACCAGTTAAGTTTCTTTTCTCACCTCTGGCAATCTTTGCCACTTAGGTAACTTAACTGTCTTTGCCAGGGTTTTTCAACATCATCTGCAACAGAATACCTTAGGGTCTCTATTTTTAAAACTGATTTCTAGAACTTACAGAATGTCTGGAGGTTAACACAGGAATATTTTTAAAAACGCAAGGTGATTATGTTGCATATTAAAATTTGAGAATAATTTATCTTAACCTACATTTTTAGATATGGCTTTTTTCCCCCCAGAGACAGAGTTTTGCTTCTTGGTTTTGTGAAAAACTGATTTAAAATGCCATGGTCTTCAGAGTAGAGTAGAGTCTTCACCGTATCTTGAGAGCTCTTTGTCTGAAGTTGTGATGCATCCTGATGTGTACAGACCATTCCTCTAGGGAACTGCTTAAATCCCACAGTCTAAATGTGCTGACCTCTAGTTTTTCCTTGAATCTATTTCCCATCAGGGCACAAGGGGGAGCTCAGGGACCAGAACATGAGAAACAGCAGCTTATCCTGAAATAATTGGATTTCTTTCTTTCTTCCTTTCTTTCTTTCTTTCTTTTTTTTTTCTTTCTTTTTTTTTTTTTTTTTTAGCTTCAGGGCTGAATAAAGATTTCCTACAAACAGGTTTCTCAGGCTGCTTTTTAAGAGATTTTATTTTGCACTTTTTTTTTTTTAAGCTTTAAGATCTCCAGGGAAGATTGAGAGATGCTAACTAGACCCCAGTCCTTGAGAAGCCTACTGTACTGACTAAGAAGTCTCAGAGGGAAACCTTGGTAGCTTGAAAATGATGCCATCCCCAGGAATTCTCCTTCTTGGCCAAGAATACTGGCAAATCAAAGGATATTAACAGTAATAATGTTGGTTGAGATTTTGAATCTCAGTGGCCTAGGAAACTGTTGAAAGACCCTCATCCCTTGAAAAGTGAAAATGTCTTAATGCGGGATGGAGAGAAAGGGAAATGGGGGTTCACTCTGGGTGAGAAAAAGGGAATGGGTGTTTTTTCTGTGTGGCACGTGAACTTCACAGGAGCAGCAAGTCATCTGGGCTGCCTACTCTTGTGCAATTGAAAACACCAACCTGTCTGTTTTATCTGGCAAATGTATTTGGTTTCTAATTCCACAAAGTTTGTGGAGGGTGTGAGACATTTTAGTTGAAAATTTAGCAGCCTGGAGTCTGCCTTGTACAATCTGACAGCTGGAATGGACTTTTGAGTTTTTGTAGTGAAGTTTGCTCCTTGGGTAGAGAATATATTACCTACATAATAGACTATAAAGATCCCTAAATGAACCTCCAAGCTTCCTAAATAGATGTCTCTCCAGGCTTTCTAAACCTAAGTTATGATCTGAGGTGTATGGAGAAACCAAAGCTTCCTTTTTCATTAGGAGTAATGCAGACTTAAGTGTGTGTCCAAAGGACTCATGAGTCCTGGGGATGTGGTTCAGTATAAAGTGCTTACCTGGCATGCAAGTGGCCCTGGGTTTCATCCCCTGTACCACAAACAGACAAACAAACAAACAAAACATCCTATTCACAAAATCATGAGAAATTATTGGAAGGTGAAAAGGTTATATTGTTGCAGGAAACACACTGGTTGAGAAGCAGCAAGCAGTCCTCGGAGGGAACTCCAAACTATTTTATTGTGGAGGGCCCAGAGGAAAACAAAACTCCAAATTCTGAGCCCCATCCACAGTTTCTCACAACATTGATAGGTTATTTGGCATCATTTAGACCCATCCTATCCCTAGGGCTTTTTTCCTCTTTAAAAAAAAAAAATTCCTACTCTATGGGTCTAAAGGCCTTGTATAGGGTCTTTAACATAAAGCATGCTCACAGAAACAGATAAGAAGAAAGGGGTCTTTTCACAGGCATCTGTTACATTGCAAGAAGGAGTAGTCAGACTCCTAGGGCATTTATTTACAATGCAAAAATGTAGGGTCCCATGGTTAATTAGGCTTCCTGGAGAAAGGCTGAAAGAGGGGAGGAGAACTGACCCTTTCTCCAGGCATTGGTTTCTTACCATAATGTTTTTATAATTTCATTTCACAACCAGGTTTGGTTTTGCCATCACAATATGAAGTCCTTCTTAGAAAGCAGGCTGTGGGAACCATTTTTACTCTCATAATAGATCTGCCATAGTGTCAATGAGATCCTTGAGTCAAACCCATTTCACTTCACAGAGCAGGAAACAAGGCCCCAGGTTGTGTGGCTAAGAAGTGGCATAGTCACGATGCAGTGATCTCCGGACTGCCTCTCTGGTTCTTGTCACTCCATGTTCTTTCATCTTGCCATTTCCCTTCCACTTCCTTATAGGCAGAGATTTGCATAGAATCCCACTAAGCAAAGAGGCATGTGGCATATTTATCAACTGATGTACGAGATATTGGTACCTTTTTATAATAAGGTTGTTAAAGCATCATCCTGATCTCTTTCCTTCCCTTCATCCCTCCCAATTTATGACTTTGTTTAGCTGCTTGAGTAGCTTAAAAATTAGTCTAAAATTGTTTTTCAAAATATTTCTCAAATCCCAAATCCATCTTAATTTTCAGTGTGGTCTCTGGGGCTATTGTACCTCATGAAAGGGCTGCTTCACAGTTCTGTTCAGAGGTGGGGCACTGCAGAGGTGTGTTTCACAGGTTCTAAATTATAGACATTTTAGCAAAATCACCAGAATTATTGGATGCTAATGTAGTATTTTGTTTGGTCTTTGGAAAGGATTGTTAAAGCCAGAAAGTCTATCCATTTTAAGTTAAGAGCCCAAGAAAGATGTTTAAGTGAGTTCCTTATTTTCTTGTTTCCTTTGAACCTTTATGGACAAACAATACATGTCTAAGTCTGTAGAGGGTAAATTAAAAAGGCAATAGATCTCAAATTATTAAAGCCAAATATTTTATTAGAATATTAAAATGTATGAAGCATATAATGGCATTTAGGAGCATATGTGATAACTGAAAGCCATTATGATCAAGAATTGGAGAAGTCAATACTTGCTGAAATTGTATAGTTCAAACACTAACAAGTAATCTTCAGATACAACATGATGACATTACAAGACAGTCAAAGTTTTAGAATCATTTTGAAATACTTATAATAAAACTTAATTTTTTTCCATTAGAGAAGAAAAAGAAAATGTGGATAAAAGAAAACTGGGCAGTCAGTCAGTTAAGTTTGTCTAGATCTTCATCAGATGCTGACTTTAGATAATTAATCCAGGATAGTCTCTTTAGAACATTTTTTTTTCCAGGAGATTGGTATAATTCAATATCCCTATATCAAAGAGCTTCCAGTAAAAAAAAAAAAAAAAAAGCAAAAAAACTTATGTTCTTACTCAGTCTGCTAGGGTCTGA